CTCCTCAGACCCTCCCCACCCCTTGGTAATTCCAATCCCACTCTGTGGGGGAGGTATGGATATTTTTCGGAACTACACAATATACCCTCCTCAGACCCTCCCCACCCCTCTGTGGGGGAGGTAGGTGATGGTAATGACTTGTGGTTATCCACTTCAGGTATGAAAAGGAGAATAAAGAAAACCAAGCTGCAAAGAAAGAAATGAGAAGAGTAAGACACAACAACACACCTACAGCACTAATCRAAAAACCATGGGCACCTAGAAATATTTCAAGAATGTTTCTTAACCAATCAGAAACGTTATTGTTATCTTTCTGTTATCTTGTGGTTAGAAAGTCAATTTTGATTGGCTGAAGAATGACAGAACATTCCTGTAATATTTCTAGTGCCCATGTTTTTCCAATWAGCACTGTAACACCACTAATTTTCCTATAATCTATAATTACCTAAAACTACTGCAATTATATCTCAGAGTGGTTCATGCAGTGAAGAGGATTCTTCCAACGCAAAACCACACAAATTAAAACGAAATATCTTTGGAAGAAGCACAAAGAAGAAATCCTCCAGCAGACCAGCGTCTGAGATATCTGCCTTCGACATGACAATGAGTGAAGAAGACAGAATAAACTTGATGAAAGCTGTGCGAGATCATGAAATAACCATAGAGGAAGCTATTCAGAAATTAGCGAGGTAAAAAAGGTTGCATAGCATATTTTTAAGATTGAAGGCCATGTTTCTTATGTAATAATAATGAATGTTTTTTTTGTGCGTTTTGAATTACAGTTTTGAAGAAGAATCTCCTAGCCATAAGGTTGGTAACAAGAAAAGAGTTTTTCAACAATTTTATTTTAATGCTCATTTTGGAATGAAATCCATTTTTAGTTTTTTTACTAAGGATCTCACATGTCATGTCAAAAATTTGTCTCGCTACCACACCCTTATTCGTCTACTGACACGCCTACTTTTGTTACATGTATTACAGTCAATACCTTACTGGCAATGTACTAGATCCAAGACAGTGACAAAAGTAGGCGTGTCAGTAGACGAATTAGGGTGTGGTAGCGAGACAAATTTTTGACGGGTTGCCACAGTTCAGTGAGATCCGTAGTAAATATTTTTTTAAATGACCTCTGGGGTGACTAAAGTCAGGGCAAACTGGAAAAAAAACAACAGAATCATGGGAGACACCCAACAAACTCTACTCACATGTGATGCAGAGTCCAGAAACTCAACCTGAGACCCCAGAGGAGAGAGGCAAGTGTACTATTGCTGCATCACCCTCAGCTCACTAAATAGATCTCTTTATACCTTGCACAGTTTATTAACTTCATTCTATGATATTGAAGTTTTTTGGTTGTATCCATATTTATTATTTTTATGTCTTCTCATGCACATCCATGAAATAATGAAATAATACTATAGGGAATGAATGACACATGGTATGAAATGGGGGAAATTTCCCCCAAGACAAGAAGCGTAATTGTAATTTGTTTCTTTTTCAGAGTAAAGACAACAAGCACAAGTTTTCTCCCAAGTCACCTCATTCTTTCTCAAGACTAAGTATCAAGAGAGTGTCTGGTGCATTTGCATCTGCCGTGAAAAGTGGACACCATAAGGAGGAAAAAACTGCTGTGTTCTATACTCCTACAGGTAAGAGATGAGTGAATGCATGAAGGGATGGATGAATGGGTGGATGGATGGATGGATGAATGGGTGGGTGGGTGAGTAGGTTGATTGGTCGATGGATAGATGGATGAATTAATGAACAAACGAAAGAATGAATGGGTTGAAGGGTGGGTGAGTGGGATGGATGAATGTTTGAATAAATGGGTGGGTGGATGGATTAGTGGATGAATTAACAAATGAATAACTGTCATAAAAGATTAAATAGAATAAAAGAATGCTATAAATAAAAAACTTGATGGAAGGATAAAATGAATGAATGAATAAAAGTGAAAAAACGTAAAGGGACAAATTCCATTTGCWGGTTGAATTCATAAAGATAATAAATGTGAAATAAATGAATGAATAAATAAATGAACAAACAAACAACACAATGAAGGAGAGGAAGAATCAATGATTGAGTAACAGTCTTTTATTTCATGATTTTGAACAGAAGGTGCAGTGAATACCAGTTCCGAAGGCTGTTCAGAGGATGATAACAACTGGCGGTCAGACTCATCACCAGACCRCTCTCCTGCAGGACATCGTAAGGTCATGCACAATCTGATAAGAAATGCTAAACAGGTCAGTTGAACCGTTTGTTCAAGAACTGAGCTAAAAATCACAAATCAAAGCCTATCCTCAAGCCCCCTGACTGATACTGTATTTGGTTTCCACAGATTCACTCCACATCGTCGTTACACAGTTCATCAAGCAGTTCTGATGCTGTTGATAGACTTGGGACGATAGAAGACCTGGAGAGCCAGGACAGCACGCCGAGAAGAGGTAGTCAACAATCTCCTAAGAAAAGAATAGTGGATGAAATGAAAAATATCTTGTCTCAAAGAGAACAAGAGGAAACAACAAAAGAAAAAGGTACCGTAATATTTTAGATTTAACATAATGTTTCCCCATTTCAGACCACATGTCATTCTCTTGAGTGTAAGCGTCTTTGCTAGATTTGTATCAATTTCCATGTGGATTCTTATGTGCAAGGGTTAAGCAAAAATTGTTACTCTAGGGAATGATACTTTTTTTTAAATGGGGAAACATATTTACATCAAAGGTAAAATAGTATATTGTTGATTGTGCTTTCTATCTTCTTTGTTGCTGCTGTTGTTTTTGCTGTTGTTGCTGCTGTTACTGCTGCTGTTGTTGCTGCTGCTACTGTTGTTGTTGTTGCTGCTGCTGTTGCTG